AAGTAAAATCTGATAAAGTAACAAAATACTAAGGGCCTCAAGTTAATTCTGACCCATGGTGAGCTCTTTGGGTTTTCTCTGCCTATAAATCTTCAAAAAGTCAGCCTGACCTTTCTACCACAAAGTATTAGTGGTGGAGTCAAACTGACAACCTACTGGTAAGCAGCCCAATACAAATCATCATCAGGTCTATATGATCAATGTTGTTGTTGTTATGTGCCGTCGAGTCACTTCTGACTCATAGCGACCCTATGTACAACAGCCCTAAACTCCACCGTCCTGTGCCAATTGCACTGTCTCCGACACACGCATCCCGATTACCCCCGTCACTCAATCAATCACCTCATAGAGGGCCTTCCCCTCCTGCGCTGTCCCTCCACCAAAAGAACAGGTCATTGCTGTGTAGTCTAAATCAATACACAACTGTCCCTCTCACAGGTTTTCGTAAGTTATAAATTGCACGGGAGGAGACTTCCCACCCTTCTCAAAGATTTACGCTCTCAGAAACCTGAGGGAGGGTGTGAATTAACCAAACAACACTGGGTTTATTTGCTGCTTACATTTCTTTTCAGTTTTCTTATTTTCTTTTAATTGGATTTATCTTTTTAATCTTTTATCCACAAGTCCCAAGCTGAGCTGACTCACTGAGTGGCACGGGCTGGATCCTCCTTCCTGTATACACATGGTAGCTCAGCACGTTTCTCCGCGCTCTGCACTTCCTGCCAGCCCACTGCTAGATCAAGAGGCACCATCGCTCAGCTTCAAACACTAGGCAAGATGAAGACAGGATCTTTTTGTTTCATGCTGTTGTTATGTGCCTTCCAGTCAGGTATTACTCAGTGACCAACAACAGGTCTGAACCCTGTCCTATCCTGTGCCATCCTCACAACCTGACACACTCAAGCCCACTGCTGCAGTCACCATGTTGACGGACTGTCAATCTAGGCTCTCCCTCTAAGACTCTAACTATCCATGTTTCTTTATTTTTCAGAGTTTTCAGAGGTTTCAGAAGTGGAACAATCCTGCTTCCCAGTCTGTCTTAACCTGGGAGCTCCACTAAAGCCTGTCCACTATGAATGACACTTAACACACTGGTGGCACAGCTTTCAGCATCACAGCAAACCACAAGCTACCTCAGTACAACAAAGTGACAGATAAGTGCTGTATTTGTTTCATAAGGTGACACATATATCTGGTGTTCACTTAAAAAAAACTTTAAATACATGTTTTAAGAGCCGTTTTATTCACAGTTTTAATTCAAAGTTCTCTGGGAATTTTGAAAAAAAAAAAAAAAATGCCTCTCAAATTCTTTCATTCTGTTTTCATGCTAGTAGCCGGACCAATTTTAAAGAGGGATCACTTTCCCATCTACTATCTGAGATCAGCAAACATTCTGTTATTTCACCCTTGGTGGACTCTACAGTCTTAGCCTCCCACTGTTTAACTCCTGCGTGGCAGCACGAGCTCTTTCCAGTTTAATTTCTTAAGGAAATTTTCTCTTCTTTCTAATTCTTGGGCAGTCATTTCAAATTACTAATACTTCTTTTGGTTTTTATTGATTTCTTAAAGTCTTCTACATAATTACGAAACTGTATACAGCAGTTCTGATTCCATTTTCCAATATGGTTTCTCTGGAATAATACTATTTATTCTGTTCTTTATTACCTTTTTCTTTGCACTTTGTATAGGATGTGACCCTGACACAAATTTCTATTTAAAAAGGAGCCTTGGTGCAGATAACTTTTCTAACTTCAAAAGATGTTCCTGTTGATTTTGCAATGTTATGAAACACACCACTTTGCTTTTTGAGGTGGTCCAGTTGTATCCTTCACTTTCATCTGATTTTCGCTCTCCTTCTATCTGGACTGCTTCCAGTGGCATCTGATTCCACTGCCAGCACTTTCTTCCCATGAGGAGTCCTGGCTCTGACAGGACCTAGCAAAAGTTCATCGAATTTCCAAGTAAGAGGCAGACTGCTTCCACTTCTCAAGCCCTCACAGTGGCTTGTTACCCTCACTTGCTCCTGCACTGGGCAAAATTGCTCCTTTTCCAGTTATTCTTCTGAAATTGTCTTAAACACACTGTCAAGTTTACTGTCTTACCTCATCAGAATGGTATAAAAGAAACAGTAATGGAAAATTGCCTAATGCAGTAAAACTTTAAAAAAAAAAACAGTATTAAGAGATAAATAATAGGATATAATAATAAAGTTTCATGGAACAAGTAAATTTTTACTGATTGGAAGAGATCCATATTATGTTCCCATTCCCAAGAAAGGTGATCCAAAAGAATGTGGAAATTATCAGACAATATCATTACTACATGCAAGCAAAAGTTATTACTAAAGATCATCCAAAAATGGCTAGAATGGTACACTGAAAGAGAACTGCCAGAGATAGAAGCTGGGTTTAGAAGAAGCCATGGCACTACGGATATCACTGCTGATGTCAGACGGATCCTGGCTAAAAGCAGAGAATATGGAAAGAGTGTCTATTGTGTTTTATTGAATGTACAAAGGCATTTGACTATGCAGATCATAACAAACTATGGCTTACACTGAATTGGGCTTGTATGTCTTTGCAATCACTTGCTATGCATCAGAGAGCTGGACAATGACTATGGATGATAGGAGAATTGATGCCTTTAAGCAGTGGTTTTGGAGAAGAGTATTAAATATACCATGGACTGCTGGAACCAGGCTGCTCCTTGAAGGCAAGGATTCTGAAGCTTCATCTGATATACTCTGGACACACTGCCAAGAGGGACCAGTTCTTGGGGAGGGATGTCATGCTTGGGAGGGTGGAGGGACATCTCATTGAAGACCCTCAATGAGATGAATTTACTCAGTGACTGGGTTAATGGGGATAAGTGTGTCAGAGAGAGTGAGATTGGCACAGAGCAGGGTGTAGGGCTATTGTACATAGGGTCACTATGAGTTGATGGCACATAACAACATGCTATCTATACCTAGACCAAGAAGCTGTTGTCTAAACAGAGCAAGGAGCACTGCATGGTTTTAAATCAAGAAAGGTATGCATTAGGGCTGTATCCTTTCTCTATACCTATTTAATCTGTATGCTAGGTAAGTCATTAGAGAAATCAGGCTTTATGAAGAAAAATGTACCATCAAGATTAGAGGAAGACCTATCAACAACCTACACTATACAGATGATGTAACCTTGCTTGCTGAAAATGAGGAGGACTTGAGACACTTGCTACAGAAGATCAAGGAATGTAGCCTTCAATATAGATGACAACTCAACATGAAGAAAACAAAAATCTGCACCACTGGGCCAATAGGCAACATCATGATATATGAAAGATAAACTGAACTGTCAACTATTTCATCTTACTTGGATCCATAATCAACACCCTTGGTATCAGGAGGGCAGCAGAAATACTGTATTGAGAAAGTCAGCTATCAGGGAACTCGCCAAAGTACTAAAGAGCAATGATATCAGTTTAAAGACTAAGGAGCACCTGAATCAAGCCACAGTCTTTCCAATCACCTACTATGCATCCAAAAGCTGGACAATGATTAAGGATAACAGATGAATTGATGCTTTCTGAGCTGTGGTGATGGAGAAGAATACTGACTATCCCACGGTCTGGTAAAAGAAGAAATAGTTATGTTTTAAAAGAAAGTGCAGCCAGAATGCTTCTTAGATATAAGAATGGCAAAGATTTGTCTCACATACTTTGAGTGTATTTTTAGGAAGGAGTATTCCTTGGAGGGGAACATCATGCTTGGAACAGTAGAGAATTGCTGAAGGAGAGGAAAACCTTTCATGAGCGGGACTCACACAACTGCAGCAATGAGCTCAAGTGTGTCGGAGATGGTGAGGATGGCACAGAAAAGGACAGGGTTCAGATCTGTTCAGAGTCAGTTGAGTTGTGCTCACCTTGACAGCTCAGAACAACAACAAAACAATTTAAAGACATTGTTGAGGGGGAATGAAAAACATGTACTATGGAATTTGAAAAAGTAGAAACCAGAAAATAAAGTTAGACATAACATAATGGCCATACAAATTTCTTACTGGAATTTTAAAATTCAGATTTTCAGAAAAACAGAAGTAGAATTTTTCACAATGGGAAGAAAAGGCAAGGAGCATAATGAAAAGTAGTGGGAAATGGTCGAGTCAGAAAATAGAGCTGTCTGAAGGCCAAGCGGCTAGCGTTCATCCTGGTCTACCAGCATGAGGCGTCTCTGTAAATGCTCTCCCAAAGGAGTCAGATGATGAGACTCACACTTTGGGAGTCACAGTGGAGTGCCTGTGCAGGAATGGAGAAAGGAAAGAGGAAGGGGAGGCAGAAAGATTATCTCAAGATTAACTGCAAAATGTGAGCCAAAAAGGCAGTGCGAATGGTGCGGCAGGTCACAGAAGGTGCGAAAGGACTCTGAGCTTTAGGGATAAATAAAATATTAAACTTCAGAAAGCAAGAATAGGAATAACAAAAGGAGGGAAAGGGAGACTATAGATTAGCTACAAACTGACAGCAGTGAATTTGAGACACATCTTTAAGTAAAAGGATGGTAAAGACTGGGAAACTTTTGGTAATTATTGAGGCTCGGTCACTGGAATCCTAGGAGTTGATCATAATCTTTTTATTTCTGACGATTAAACGCTTCCCTAGTAAAACTTAAACAAGAGTCAATTGTCATCAAGTCGAAATCAACTCATAATTGAGCCTTCAATGGGTTTTCAGAGGCTGTAAAACTCATGGGAGGAAACTGCCCATTTTTCTCCCATAGAGCAGTTGGTAAGTTTGAACCATCTGCCACTGGGTTGGTAGCACAACTCCTTACCTACTAGGCTACCAGAAATCACTGATAGAAAAGTTTAAGAAATTCTACAAGCATAGTTTTCTTCACAATCCTTTCCAATTCTATTATTAGACCTCATCACTTTCCTCACAGAATAATTACATTTCATGAAACTGAAAATATTTAATGCCTGAAAAAAGCTTAACAAAAAGTAAAATATTTAAATTACTACCTTGACTTTTCTCTAAGGTGTCTCCTTTTGTTTCATCTTCTTTAATAGGAGTACTTATCCTGGGGCTCCTGCTTTGCCCCTGGACCACTTCTGCAAGCAATTCTTCCTGAGAGGTTCGAGTTCGAGGGGCAACTGGAAGTGTCTGTTTCTGGGGAACT